TCCAACAGAAATATTGTGTACTCATTACGAGTAAAATCGAAGAAGAGCTAGCCGTGACGACGCTGGACACTGATAAGTATTTCGAACAAACCTTGCCAAAATCACAGCAAAAATAACCACCAATTCAGCATATAAAAGTACCTATGTACCTTTGAATGAATTAAATCAGGTTTTTTTCCAGCGAGAAACGTCCTTCCACCATTGTATACTCTACACATTTTGACTTCGGAGTGGCTTCGGAAGTCAATTATTTCCATTCGAAAAAGTGATTGAAACATACAAATTGGCCAACCACAGCCGGACTAAGGAAAAAAATCCACATTTTGCTCATGCTTCTGGGCCTCAAAAAGCCTGTTCTCGAGTTTATCAACCTAAAACTTTACATTTGTACTGTGCACACACTGGGCTGTCACACATATGTGCTCTTAGCCTGGTATCTCCATGCTTTATAGGCTGTGATTTTATTTCAGGCGAATCTCAAGGCTCAAAAGTTCCATCCATCCATCCATCCATCTGCAAACGTCTTATCCTGCACACACGGTCGCGGGGGGGCTGGAGTCTATCCCAGCCTACATCGGGAAATAGACAGGGTCCAGCCAATCGCAGGGTTACACATAACCATTCACATTCACACACCTACGGGCAATTTAGAGTTACCAATCAACCTGATCCCCAGAGCATGTCTTTGGACTGTGGGAGGAAGCCGGAGTACCCGGAGAGAACCCACGCAGACACGGGGAGTACATGCAGACTCCACACAGAAAGGCCACTGGGCGGAGTCGAACCCGGGACCTTCTTGCTGTGAGTGCTAACAACCACACCACCGTGCCGCTCAAAAGTTATATCAATCAATTTCTTCACCAGTAACATATAAACTTTATATATATTTTACAAATCAGAACACTCTCAGTGTCAGGATCAGGGTAGGCAGACGGGCATCAAAACGCAGACGGGGAACAGGCAAGACATTCACACACAGGGCTTAAATACACTGGAGAGGTGCAGGTGATTGGACACAGGTGGAAACAATTTGGGACACGGCAGACAATCATAGGGGGTGACAGGACAAGGCAGGAAGTAAAGTAACCCAGGGACTAGGGTTGCCACCTTTAGTACAGAAAAATAAGGGACGCTTCCTCCCACTCTCGTTGGTACTTTTGCATCTGTTTTTGCTTCAGAGCATATAATAAATAGAATAAATTGTCCAGATAGACAAAGTAGTTAGAGTTATTACACTTCTTATCACGCTATGCAATCTTCGGAGCAGAACAGATTCATGAAAGTATTTTCACAGGTGTTGATGAGTATTATGAGGCAAATATGACGCTGGGAGGGGAAAATCAAAGTATAACCACTACAAAAATAGAGACTACATCACTGGCTACACCCTATGTTATGGTTATGTGTTTTCAGAGAAACGCTGGGACACGCACACGCAAGAGCCCCTTGCATGCTGCTTGCGTGCTTTTTTACCCTTTCTTGCGTGCTTGCGTCCGCCGACCAAATCTTTCAAAGTTTTATCAAAAATGTATCAAAAGCTACGCAAGCCTCACGCAGCCCACAAGGCTGTGATTGGTCTGCCAACTACATCCTTTCCGGAGTCTCACATTTCTGATTTCATAGCATAATACCGCCATATTTAAAAGGAAGATTTTTGAATGAGTCAGATTGAAGAGCTTTTGTGAAAAGAAATATGGAAATATGACCACTTATACAACCTGTCATTGGCGGACTATGAGGACGCGCAGATGGCCTCTGATTCATCGAGGGAGGTGTCCGCAAACGTCGGTTTGCCGATCGAGGGGTGTGGGAAGTTGTGGAGGAAAATACGGGACAAATATGTCCGCGATGAAAAGCAACAGTGGCGATGCACGGGGCAAAAAAGTCTCTGCTTTTGATGTATCCCTAAATAAACAAACCAATGACTTCCACACACAAAGAGGTCATTTTCTAGGTCGTCCTGGACAAAAAACGTTAGTCCACCAATTGATCTGTTTGTGAATTTCTTTGCAACACACGCAACCCTTGAACCATAAATTAAAACAAGTCCATCGACACAACTCTCCGAAAAGCCGCAGCTGCAGTTGCAGAAGCATGCCAGACCCTATAGAAGAGACACATACCCTGAAACTACACTTCTGTGTCACTTTAGCAAAGATGAAAACATACATTCCTGGTGAGTACATATCTGGTAAGTGTTAGGGATTTAAGCCAGAAGTGCACCCCTAGTCAGGAAATTATAGTACGTGTGAAATAATGTTTAGTGTTAGAATTATAGTTTGTGTGATATTAGATATTAGGTATTACATTAACATGTTAGATGAAGTGAATACAATTTGAATCAAACACAATTCATAGTCATTTAAATCCTATAAACACTGTACACATTAACATTCTGTCACAATGTGATGTTAAAACCTGGGGACGGATGCCAATTGCCGTCCTTTATGGATTTCTCCCAATTTTATCCCCAAAGAGGGTTTTTTGGAAGTTTTTTCTCCTGTCAGGTAGTAAATGAACAACTTAATGTAAGGCAGCCAACTGGCGCAAATGTCTTGAGAATTGAACCACATGAACTGTCTTAGATCTTATGATGAAGTGTGATGAACGGGGATCATTAATGATGGGTTGCTGTAATTAAAGTGTACTAGTTAAAAGATGAAGACACTATGCATTCTTTGTTAAATTCACTCATTGAGGCATAAAGCCAACTGTATCTACATTGAATGCATTGGAATGTGAGGGACAGATAGTACAGTGAGGTTTCAGGTTACAGCTGCAGCTTCACACCTCGACGTGAAGGGGACAGTCCAGGAGGTGACCCTTTGAAGAAGAAGCCAATGACATTCAAATGCACCAAGGAAGACACACCTCAAGAGTTTTCATAGGACCAAAGCGGGGAAAGGACTGTTAGAATTTTCCTGCAGCCACTTTGATAAGTCGCTTTAGACTTGCTCAGAGGATTCTCTATTTCGCAAAATATTTTACTGTTCGCTTAGTATTTCACTTTGTAATTGTATCCCTTATAACGTTGTTTAGTTATTAAATACTTTTTGATTTTTGAATTCAAGCAAGCTGACCCTTTTGATTCTTCGTTTCCGGCCGGGACAAAGGAGTGAGGCCTCCCTCGAGAGCTTTCCGAAACCCTAACATAAGCAATATCTTTGTCAAGTATGAAGCTGCTATAGTAGTAGTAGTAGTAGTAGTGGTAGTAGTAGTGGTGGTGGTTAGTTTTGTGGCTGAAGTGCAATTTTCAGACTGATGGACAAGTTTAAAAAAACAGTTGTACTTTTGTGGACATCAGCAGAGGGGATGACAATATTCTCCCTTTTAGAAATAACTATGTATCTCTTACTGTGCTCTGTGTTTCTTGTTCTTATGCTGCTCTCTATGGAACTTTCTTGCTATTTGAAGGTTTTGTCCTCCCATCAGGCTCACCACAGGCTGTGAGAGTCCAGCTGGTTGTTATTTTTCTCCGTCTCATTGGACTCTGTGATTGCACTCCTGCAGGTGGTGAACGGTCGAGATTACACTCATTACTGAGAATTTGTTTAGATTTTTGAATGAGTGTTGAAATATTCAACTTGTTGGTTACAGTCCAACCTATTGCTGCGTTCTGAGTTGCGTGGGCTCTTGGGTGGCTTCACGCGTCTCACTGACGTCACTGAAGGTAGGCATGTGTCCCTGCTCCCATCCCTGTTCGGCTGATTTCACCCAATGTTAGTGACAGAGGGTAAAGCATCATTCCATGCAGCAGACCGTTTTTTCACTGGACAAGGCTAACATATCCCAGGAGCAGGTGGACCTGAGAACCAGTTTCCGGCTCCATTCATTATTTTTGCACGACTCCTAAATTTTCTCCTAATTCTAGTCTTTTCATAAGGTCCCTCCGTAATAACCTTTTTTCGTTATATGAGAGATTGTATCTGGGAAAATAAAAGAGTATTTCAATTTCATATTTTGGAGAGAAATGATTTTATTGGTTATATTATATCCAACATTATTGATGATGTTACTAACTCAATGTTCTAGGGTTAAACTATTTCTACTAAGATGAAAACACTAAGCAGGTCCGTCTCCAATTTCTTTGCTATTTTTCTTGTTTCGTTCTTTGAGGTGACACACTGCTGCAGTCTTTGACAGGAAAAAATTACTTTTTGTTTCTCTGTGGTATGAACCCAGCATGCTTTATTAAAAAGGTCCGCATGAAATATCAAATGCTATTGAATCATTTTTACTCAGCTGCTTCTAATGCTTGCTTTGTTTTTGTCCACATAATTCTTATGGTGAGAAAGAAACGATCACTTTTCCTCACAAGGATACACTGAAATACAGTCAAGTCAACCTTTCATAGACACTATGAAAGGTTGACTGATTAATAAATGAATGGAGAGGTGGATGAGTTGTGGCTGTTGGTGTCACTCACTGTACGGTAAGTCTACAAAAATGATCCTTTTGAAATGCAACACTGGATGGATTCTCACTGTGTTTGTTTACGTAGATACTTGTTCCACAGCTTCAACTTTGTAGTGGTTACATTTCTCATTTTAGTTGGTTGCTAAGCTACAAAAGGCAAACCGTAAGACGCAAAGAAGAATTAGAGAAACTTCCCAGAAATAGGTGTGCCACACTTGTGGAATCATACCCAAGAAGACTTGAGGCTGTAATTGCTGCCAAAAGTGCTTCAACATATTATTGAGCAAAGGCCGTGAATACTTATGTACATGTTATGTTTTCGTCCTTTAGTTTTAACAGATTTGCAAAAAACAGTTTTCACTTTGTCGTTATGGGTGTGTGTAGAATGTTGAGGAAAATAATGAATTTAATCCATTTTGGAATAAGGCTGTAACATAGCAAAATGTGGAAAAAGTGAAGCGCTGTGAATACTTTCCGGGTCTCATATTGTTGTTTTGACTCTAACACTGTAACACTCTAACACAGCATTTTAATTAAGTTCTCTTTTACTGCACGTTCCATTAAAGTAAACACGACATGGTAACTCCCATCTTTAGATGTTTATTTCTGATATCATCATCAAAATTTTTACAAAATATTTTCTGACAATAATATACTCAAAGAAGAGCCATATTTTTCGCTTGGACCAGGTCTCCACAAAAATGCTTTAGGTCTGAATACAGTAAAAAGAATATATATCCAAATAGGATTAACAAAAAAAATAAAATAATTGAACAACAAAAACAACTACCAAAGAAAACAATGCAGCGCATATTTACATCTAGAGAAAGCAATGCATCCTGCAAGAGATTGACGAAAAGGAGACAGTGGGCCTCCCCTGGTATTATGTGAAAAGCATCTAAGTATCAGCAAAAACCCCCAAAAGGAAATAGAGGACTTTGAACCAAGGAAGCAAAGACTAGACTTCTCTGCTATTGCTTTCTAGCTGCCTTTCTCTGCTGTCTGTCTTCCTGCAATCTCAAACCAAAAGCAGCAGTACAACACAGCCCATATGAAAAAAATCCTTTCTTTCTTCAGTGCTTACATTAAATCCTATTAGGGGTGTAAACTGGGCTTTTTTGGGAAGAAAAAAAAAATTAATGTGTGTTTCCCTGACAGAGGTTAATGATCCTGCCTTCCCCATTTCCCCTCTCACACAACCAATGGCACAATAACAGAGGAAGGACAATGCAGGTCAGAGGTGAAAGACTGCTCATGGTAATCATGGAACAATAACCATCAATAGAGACAGGGCATTGCCTGAATATCGCTATATTAGGGACGTTGATTTGGAGGAGGTAGAGGAAGTGCTGCTAGACACACACAAACTTTGGCCATCTGGGAACATGCAGGGATGCTAACTCACTAGCGATCCTCCCAGTCTTTGCCTTTTAGCATGACAACGTTATTCATCCTTACCACTTGGCAGACTGCACGCACACACTAATGACACCAACAAAAATAGAAACTCGAATTAGGAGTCGAAGTGGCAGATGGGGAGCATTAACTTATTTTTTTCTGCTTAGCCTCCCTGTTCTGTGTATAAGTGCTGACTCTCTGGACTCATGACAGTATGCCATGTGGGTATGTCCCAACGCTGCCTGTGGGTTAGACACAGATGTATGATAGAGGGAGAAAAATTGTGTAGCGCGACTCCACGTCTGGCTCAGAATTAATTTTCATCAGGTAATGGATTAGAACTTGCTGAACCGTCGCATATGGCCTTGGGTGATCTGAAATGGATGGCAGCTTCAAAAACTGCAGCCATTTATTATCATTCATCTAGGAGTGTGTGATTTTGCAGTCAAATTTTGGATTTATATATTTTATATGCGTGATTGTTCTTCATTTAAAGACCAAAAAGGTTTCTTGCTAACAGATAAATAAATAAAGCGAGTCTCTGTTTATCCGTGTATGCGATTAAGCATCATTGTTGAGAAAACGCCAGTTGAGCGTGTGCTACATGATACACATTTGTCCCTCCATATCATCCCTTTTTGTAAGGAGTGTCTGCGTCTTCCCCTTGTCTCCCTGGCTTTCCCTTCCGAGATTTGCACGGAAATATTAAGCATTTTGCTGCAATTTTCAGACCTTTATTCACCCTTCCATAAGCCCCCAACCAAAGAAATATTATTTTAAAGAAAAGCAAAATGTTTTCAGTGCCCATTAGATCCTAAAAATAAACAGAAGGGGCAGGGATTGTGGGGGGAGAGCTTGGTTTGTTCAAAACCATAAAGAAACAAACCCGAGGAAGAAAATAAAGCCTGGGTGGGCTGCAGACATTTAGCTCAAACATGCAATCATTATCATGCTGGGCCTGTGCTTCCAGCTCTACGACAGCAAAAAAAAAAGACTGTCAAATAATTAGTGGCAGCAGGATTCAGCCATTCCGGCAAACATATCCGATCCTATCAGGGAGGTAGTCACGATTAATCAATCGCTATTAGTAGTTGATTTAATTATGAACAAACAAAGATTTGAATATGATCTTCTAATTACACAGAAAGGGTGAAATAGCTTTGATTATTGTGTTTAGACCGAATTGAACAATTATAGTTGAAAAAAAAAATGAAGTAATTACTATGTATGCGGTAGTGGGCGTTTTTTTGCCGGAGAGTATTAAACGGAGAGTCCTTCCCCGGAGTGAGTGCCCGGAGCAGGTCAATTTATGTGTTTAACAGCCTGTGCAATGCCAGTGAATTGTACTTTCGGCGAGACAGGGTCAGGGACGGGTCAGCAAACAAGTTGCTTTAAAAAAGGGAGAAAAAAAAAGTGAAGTTGTCCGTGACACGTGCTGCTGGTTCTAGGGCGCTACACACAGGAAATTTCTCATGTGCTGTTTGTCTCCGGTTTAACGCTCCTCCCTAACTGGACATACTTTCCCAAAATATCAGCATGCAGACAGAAATAGAACATCATTAAACAGGTTCACCCGAGTCACCCGGAGGCAGACATCAAATTCAGGCCAAGGAGTTAGCAGGGGTGATATAGAGCAAGGCAAGACAATACATGGATAGAATTGAGAGTGCTCCCATTATAAAGACATCGGCACAGTTGCTATTACAAAGTAAACTCCACCACTATTAAGCAACCGTACTGAGCAAATCAACTGCTTCTTTATCCATTTATCCTGTACACGGAGGGGACTCGACCCCCGAATTGGTTGTGAAAACATGAATACTTGTTGGGTCACCTGTTATTTGTAGGTACAAACACAATAATGGCACATCACAAAAGAGCTTTCTAATTTCACCTCTTGGCACAAAGAATAGCACACTTCCTCTCACTGAGTAGACCTTGAAATGGCATAGTGATGTATTCTCAAACGTGGGTTGGGATGTGAACGCTATGGCCACCCTCTGCCACATAAAACATGTCAGAACAGAAAATCTGGATCTCTGTCAGGTTGGATGCTTGAAGTGTATCTTAAAAAACAGGGTTCCCAATATTTCCCTCCTTCCTGTGAGTCGGTAAAACAAATCGATTTGAAAAACAGCTTCAGTAACATAATTGTTTTTTGATGGTGGAATAGTGGAGGGAGCAGATAGAAAAATATTTATCATTGAAACAAAAAGAACGTTACAGTGCAGAACCTCTCCACCGAGTTGTCTTGGTAACAGATTCCCACTGGAAAGTGAATAAGGCTCATCTTCATTGCACAAGCAGTTTTGTGTTTAAGAAGAATTAAAATTCATATTTTTTTCCTTCATCTTTAAAGATTCACTATTTACACGATAAATAAGTTCTATTTGATTTTTTCCTCTCATAGAATTTCTTGACATCATCTTTGAACACTTAAAAAAAAAAGTATTTTTTGTTCCAAGACACAAAGACAAAATAACAACAAATAAAAAATATCCCTATTTTTTTCTCTTATCTTGTGGATACGGGCGGGGCATTTTGGCCCCTCGCAATATCATCTGTGGATCAACCGGTTGCACCGTTTCCACATCTGCAGAGAGTGCGGCTGCTGACATGTGAGAAACGAGTCGGCGTGCTGCTGGGCTAAAGCTGCAGATCACATTCGACAGGCCATCATGGCCGTGTCTCATGTCCTCATTACCTCCACAAGTCAACAGTAGCCATGGACAAAGGGTCACCGAGTGCAACAAAGTCCAGCACTGCAGGCACGCTTTCTGTAAAAAAAAAGATGATGTCAGGCAATATTCCCAGTGTGGTCCATGGGTTTGTAAGCAGGTTAAAGAGAAGTCAACGTGCCAGTTCAACATGCCCCCACTAGGCACTGTTGTTTTCTGCTGTGGAGGGAGGGGGGCGCGGTGGGAGCACATGGCCGGAGCCTTGCCAACACAGCAAGAAGGTGCTCACCACATGGTCCAATGTAATAAAAGTCAGACATTGACATGGCGATGTTTCAAATGACTAATGTTTGGGGCAGTGAGAGTGGTTTGACCTTCAGTAAAGTGAACCTTTTTTTGTAAGAATATGTACAATACTTCAAATGTGTGCATTCAAATGTACTTATTTTGCCCCCCCCCCCCCAAGGTTGACCTTCTTTAAAGCATAGTGAGTCATTCAGCTGGGATATAATCATACACAAAGACCTGCCATTCTGCTGAGAGAAGGGACCCCCTCCATGTTGAAGAAATTCATGAAATTAACACACCACATTACATCACTTCTCAAGTGTTGTGTTGCTATTTTGTAGCGTCATCAGTTCAAATTGATGTTGGGAGGACAGTGCAATCATCATAATTAATTTGTCTAAACATTTCTCTTCCACTACCACTCTCTTATTTGTTGTCTGCTTACTCTGCCAAACTGTTAAGACGAGCCTGGTCCGTCTGAAACCAACAGGGGGGTTTGTTTGTAAATGGGAATGTTTGTTGGTAGAGGTTGTTGCAGTAGTGCCATTTTAAGAATGGTCCCAGCAAAAGTAGCTTATGTGCATTAAAAATATAATAACAAAATAAAACAACATGTTAACATACAAGTAAACTCTTTGGTTTGACATGCACATTAATGGAATACAGTATGAAGTCCCACATGTAAAGAAACAACAAAAGTAAGACAATGGATCAATCCATCCTTTGACATGTTTCGAGAGAACAACTTGTCTTTATGAAATACTGACTCGATATTTTAATATTAATCACAGTAAGAAGCCCCTTGAAATGTCCTACTCCATCTCTTTATGTTTAACTTCTCTAGTGCCCTCTCATGATTGAAATCCAGTGTTTATTGCACTTCCCCATAACTACTGACTCGTGCATGTGAACTGCTGTCAACTGGTTCCTCAAGACCGGATGTGGAAACAAGGTAATGCTTTTTTTCTGTCCTAATGCCATATGACCTCCCATGATACAGTATTTTATATAGGGAGTTTTGAAAAAAGAAATCAAAATCATCTGGAAAGATGTCTCACCCTCGACTGTATGTGATTGAGACTGCGTGTTTCAGATGCAGACTCCCTCCAGGCAGAATTAGAAAAATGTCTTGTCCTCCAGTTCAAATACTCATGTTCTGAAAACAAGGGCCCACTGAATAACCAGCTCGCCGGCCTCTTCCTAACAAAGTCACATCAAATCAAAAGGCCCTTGGCCCACTTCCAGCAACTGGACCAATCCTGCTAGCGTCCGAATTTCAGCGTCCCCGTGCGTTCGGCGGGGGGGAAAGGCCCGCTGCTGGGACCGTCAGTCGGCGGTCTGAGGGTGGGCGGCGGAGGAGAGCGAGGCCCTGGCATGGGGGCACCCATGCTGGCAGCGGAGGGCACGGCCGGCAGCGCCACTGTCTGTATGGTGCCCCTATCACATGGCCCCAGGTCCTCCAGGCCCTGTGGGGGTCCCTCATAGCCCATGTTGAGCCGCAGGGGTTGATGGGCCTGGCAGTAGTCCACGATGGGCTGCTCGTAGCGGTAGAAGGTCAGCGCACCTAGCTGGTGGGGAACCTGTTTTAGACGGACAGAGACCAGAGGGGGAAGAGACAGAGGTAGGATGCGATGGACAGGAGAACGTTGGTAGAGGGTACATGAGTAGGATCGTACAAGAGTGAGGGAGTGAGGAGACAAAGAAGGACAGGGAGAGAAAGAAATACGTCAGCTAAATAAAAAAAGTTCTTCGTAAAACCAAATAATAATAATATGATCAGCATAGTTTTTAACATAATATTCATTTTTTTTTTGCATACAGATTCTTTTAGGGCCATTTTATTGTGATCATGTTGAAACAACCATTCAAAAACTGCTAGCTCTGGTTGTACTGATGCTACAACAGCCACAGCTGTTTTACTTTTCGAATAGATATTAAACACTTTAAAATTGTTTTTTTCATTTCATTTAATTTCAACATTTCATTGTGCCTGTGTGACTCTAAGCCTACAACACAGTTAGTTTGGCAGTTAACTGTTTACAGATTACAGAGGGCCCTCTGTAATCATCCTCGCATGGTGACCACCTGAGCCCGCAGCTTCCCGCAAACCCATTTGCTGCAAAGTCCCTCCAAAAACGTGGGCTGCGAAGCATCTGCTACAACTGCTTTTGTTTGTTTAAAAAATATGAGAAGCGTTACACTCCTACACAGAAAGACAATTTGCATTTGCATGTCAAGATGTATATATGAATGACACACAGGCCGCGCTATATAACGACCTCTACGACCTCTTATGAGTTGAACCGTTTTATAAAAGAGCTGGAGCGAATAAGCCTGCAGCTCTCTCTCCGGTGCCATGTCACTTGTGTCTCTGCCAGGAGCACTCGTCACATCTGGCTGTGTGTCTGGTCGTGTGTTCCCTCCCCAAAACCGTAATACCGTGCCAAACAAAACAGATGAGAGCCTCGTGACACCCTGTCTACCCGACTAAATCGCAAACTTATTCACGTAAAAAAAAGGAGGCCAATTAAGGGATTTCTAACAGGCTGTGTTAACAGCAGGGTAAGATGGCAGCTGACCTAGATTAAACGCCGCAACCTGGCAGAGTGACAGATCATCACGGCTGTACACGCAGGCGACAACAAACACACGACTACAGTTGGAGCTGCAGATATGACACCAAAAAGGAAAACATGAATAACGCCTGACACTGAGGAGTTGTTGCAGTCAATCATAACTGCACCGTCTACCCTGCACCTCTTTGAGGTTCCCATTGATGGTAACTAGATTTTGAGAGAGAAAAAAATAATGTGTGTCCAAACTTTTGACTGTTACTGTATGTATGCTACTTATAGATACATTCACAAGAATGATTTGCTTCAAATTACCCAATTTACAAAAGTTACATTTTTCCACTCATCCCTGTTGGTATATAGCCATGTAGTTTGTTTCGAAGCACCAAGATTATTGGTTTTGAAAGGTGAAGTCAATGCAGAGGTTCCTTTACTGCATTTTTTCTACTTTTCCACTCTTCCGGTTGCATGAATAATTCTGATAGCAAACATTGTAAACATGAGTTAAACTCTCTCCTCACATTTCTGGCTCGCAGTAGCCAAAAAACAAGATGGCCATTGAACTCATGATGTGACGGTGACCACGTCTTCCCCTCATATACAGTGTAGGGCTGTCACTCAATTAGTACTTTTCCAAAGCATTCCAAACAACATTCGATAACCTGAAAGGAACATATTCTAAAAATCATCATGGATGATGCCTATCTACCAACCAAAGGTAAGAAAATGTCATTTGAAATTTGTTGAACTTAATAGTAATGCCAAGGAAACTACAAATTAGGTCTCAGAGGATCAAAGCAAAGTCAACTGAGAAAAAAAGAGAATCACTGCTACTTGACCCAGAAGTTATTAATATGCTTTTACAATGTATAGACTTATCACATTGGGAGTAAACATTTATGAAACTTAGAATAATTCATGGCAAGACTGTACATATGCTGGTCTGGAAGGGGGAATAGTGTGTGTTTGTGTGTGTCTGAGCAGGCTCAGAATTCAAAGTCAAATGGAAACAGTCCAGGCTAACGCTGCTCGGTGGTTCAGGAATTACCCTGGACTGCGTACAAAGTGGCTTTATCTCAGCCCCACGGGGCTGAAATAAAGCCACTTTGTACGCATTAACACCAGTACTGTTTTAGATTAAACAAACCAAAAGTATTTGTTGCCTCAAGCTTTTACTGCAACGTGCTTCAATGATTCAGTGCATTACAATTCAGCACAGTTGCAGTGGTGTATTCTACATTCATGCTCAGAGCATTCTTGTCTGGAGATAATATTCACGTAAAATGTTCTGCTCTCAGTCCTCTATCCCAGCCTCTTTTTTTCAGCTCCATCTACACACCTTCACAGCCACGGCTTTCCTTCTTTTCATCCCTTGATCCCCCCTCAAATGGACACGTTAAACGTGGCTGACTCATTACATTTCAGGCACTCAGTGGATTAATCCCCTCATTCACCTTTTAGTTTATACCCTTCGTCACCACCTCCACCACCACAACCACAGCTCTGCTCAGAGGTCCAACTGACCTGGACTGGCCATTTCTGGCCACATTGTTGTGGCAGAAATATGGCCCATGGTGGAGAGCGTGATTGAGTTTGTGTTGTGTTTGTGAAAAGTGCAAGAGTTCTTATTTTTCTGAACCCCTGTGACCTTTCGGCAGAACCTGCTGGCAGTCACAACGTCAAACTCATCCTGCGGGCCGCACTGGACCCCCCATTAGTGTCCTTACTTTGCAATATCCAACTTTACTTAATGGCTGAGTTGGTCAGGGTGAAGAGCTGTGCAAGGTGGGGCACATAGTGTAGTGGAAATAGGAAGCATTCCGAGATGTCAGTATGCAGCAGTTAATAGGAAAGTACAAGCACATTTTTCAATCATGCATTTGTGTCTAAAGTGTGACCAGTGTGGAGGCAGATCTATCACTTACGCCAAGTATGCAACGGAACTACGATGGACAGAATTCCCTTTGAAACTCCAGTGTTCCCATCTACAGCCAGTGTGCGTTAGATAAGCAGCTCATTCCAAGGTAACAAAAAAACAATCTTTATTTTAGATAATTTAACACTAATATTTAATATTTTATTTTAAATTTTATTTCTGCCCAAATATTATCCTGAATGCTACACACTGACAATTTAGTACAGAGGAACCCCGAAGAAGTTATATTCCCTTTGAGAAGAAGATATGTGAGCAGCATGATATTGTAATGGGAAAATGATATGTGACCCTTTTAAATGCTTCATTTGTATAACCAGTTTATTAGTTGCAAGTGGTTAGATCACAAAGGCCCTGACATAAGAACTGATGTCTCCCACTTGGATTAGAAGTTTCCAGCGTCATAGCTGTAGAGATTGAACAAAGTGTTTGTTATGTCTATGACCACCTTTGTTTTAGCATGTTGGGAGAGCAAGGATACGGTCAAAGAGCTGACGTGTCTTACATGGATAAGATGTTCCCAGTACCCTGGCTGTAGATACTCAACAAGATGGTCAAAGGTTTCTGTTGACGCCACCGATATCTAAACTTAGGTATAAGAACTGCCTCGATGTGTTGGGAAGAAAAGGACATATATATGATATATACATATATATCATATATATATATATATATAATATAAAGGTTGGGCACTTTTAAGGTATTCTATGTGCAGTGCAGTTGTCATTGTGTGTATGCATTGAAAGGTCACCAACAATAAAAGGTCAAAGTTAAGATGGATTGACCTTTGGACCCAATCTGTGCGAGGGAGCAATGATGAATTTAACTCCACCTCAAGGTTTCTCATCTCCATGGGACAAAAATGGTTTACTCACAAAGCAATTCCGTTGCTGATCATGCGTATCATGTGTGTGGGCGCTTTAGTAGGTACAAGTGCATCATCCTATGTGCTGCATTGTTTACTACATCCTTTAAATATCAGAAAAACAGATAGGAACTCAACTTCAAATGCTGCACCACTTGAGGATTTCTTTTTTTTGTGCTTCTTTGCCACATGTACCTGGTTGTGCTCTGGCTAACAATGACTGGCATCCTGCCTCTTTATCTCCAAACACACAAGAGTGACCTTAGAGCCATTTGGTCCCCCAAGCATTGAAGCAACCTGCCCAAGGGGATTAACGACCAAGATCAGTGTTTTAGGTTAAATCTTTCTTAAACTGGCTTTCATCTGAGATGCTTATGTTTCTTCTGATTATCGTTTCCTTAAATTTTTCTCGGTTTTGTGACACCTTTAAACCACTGTGCGCCACCATTTGCCTGATTAACCCAAGACTGTAAAAAACCTGATTAGAGAATTCCTCCATCCATGGTTATTTCCACGTTACTTTCTCACCACAGCTGTAGTTTGCAAGGGTAGTTTCTTAAAAAGACCCAAATCCCATAAATAATTTCCTTCACAGCCCTGCAGCGCCCCTCTGGAGTTGTGTGTCTTTCTTTCCTTCAAGCTTTTATGAGCAACGAAGAAGACTGTAACTGTGGCACGGGGAGACCACACCAACGTCTCCCTGGGCTTCAGGAGCATTACGGTTCAAAAGTCTGCCGCTCTCAAGTCACCGTATTGTGGCACGCAGCAGGATGATGCAGGGAAGAGGAGGTGCAACAGACTCCCAGTAAAATGCAAATTTCCTTTGATTATGATTCACAGAGTCTTCTTTGTTGGTACACTTGCGAATCAAGTTGAGAAATTCCTTATTATTGAAGCATCTTGAGTTATTTTTGTCTGCCTCAAAGGATGTCACACAGTATTCCCAAATATGTATTTTGTCACACATTGTTAAAAATAATGGTTTTACATGCAGCATGGTTTTCAGCATGTGTATATTTATCCATATTTCATTTTGAAATACAAACCGATTTTAATGCCAATCACCTTGTGGAATCATTGAAACAAACATCTAATTATTCTTTCCTTTGTCTAATTTTCATCCCTCTAGTTTACTTTGTAAAAGTAGAGCGATCTATTACGAATAACTTTTGCCCATCTATATTTAAAGTAGGCTGTGATGCATATTTG